CAACTGACAAAGTTTAGATATGATTCAAGTAATTAAAAGTCCAAGTTTCTAATGACTTGGACACTAAAGAAAGGACCTAATTGATTGTGATTGGACCCATCATTTCCAACATAAAAAAAAAAAACTTTATCTATTAGTGGCTGCTAGATCAACACGAATATACTTCTTGTTAGTAAATATTGATTAAGGCCCACAAATGAAGATATAAACAAAAGCTAAAATGTAATTTGATGTGATCAGTTGATAGCTACCCCACCTCAAAAAAAAAAAAAAAACCAAAAGAGAGAGAGAGATGAAGACAATTGTAAGGTTCCTAAGTCATTTTCACTGACGATAATGGATGCTAATAGACGAGTGATTGAAAAAAATTGTTTGATTGAGGCCACCCTTTTTGACTGAGCACGGAGAAATTCATCATTTTTCCTTCAACAAATGTTCAAGTGAGAATGCGAAAGGGTAATTAAATCTGTTCACTCAATGGCCGGCAAGTTAATAAGTTAATGCCCCTTCACGATTTTGTTATGTTTCCACAAGAGTTGAAATTGCCTACTTTGATCTGAAATAAACAACTGGTTATGATAAAACTGATAAGGCTGGTGGGGTCTGTCAAGAAATGTTTTCAAGCATCCAAACTTGTGATGGAAAGAGAAGGAAAACAAAGTCTAAGAAAAGATAGATTCCTTTTCACGGAAGGAACTATCGTGCGGGAAAAAGATGCCCTTGTCCACAAGAATCACAATTGAGAAAAGGCTCAGAAACTTCTCAACATCTACCCATGACATTGAAGAGACACTAAATCGATCACTATCTTGCTGTTAAGTCATTTTTCTTGTGATACTGAATTGCTTGTCAATTGTTGAAATGTGACATGGATAATTACGTTGACCCTCCAATGAGGTTTTTTTTTTTTAAATTGCCAAGATCTTTAATTTAACTTAATTCTTAAAGAGGAGTCTTTTGGCTGATTTTTCAGCTCTTCTACCTCACAGTATACCTTATAAATTATTTCAATTATTTCATCATCATATGGTGGTTGCTAGGAGGGGAGGAAGCGTACAGGAGGAGTGAGTGTAAGTGAGAGGTTTCAGATTCAATACTTTCGACTTATACTTAAAAAAAATATATATGAGGGTGGCAAAGTAGATTTTTGAAATGAAGTATAATATTTGCCAAATTTAGCATTGTAGAATCACTCCTTAATAAGCGGAGCAGCAAGTGTGGGAGAGATTCTTTATATTTTTCATTAGTCTTCTTGCAACAATTAAGCAACTACAGAATACTCATACGTTATCCTATCTAACTTCCAACTTTTCTTCTATTCCATATTGTCTATCAACTTTCCTGAATCTTTACACACACATAGCTTATGCTCTTGCAACTTGTATGACACAAAACAAGAAGGGAGGTCATTGTACTTTGGAAACTATAGAGAGACAAAATTTTACGCTGTATTGTAAGAAAAATTCATTTGGTAGCTATAGAGCAGTATCACTTGCTACGAAAACGTTGAATGAATAGTATAAAAGTTGTAGTTGAGGCAAATATACCATCCGTTCTTATCATAGAAAATGAATATTACAATAGTTCTCTTCTTCCCTTCCAAACAAGCAAAAAAAGAAAAAAAAAAGCCAAAGACAAAATTATCCATGGTGGATTTGAGGCCAATGCACCACCAATTCTTGTAAAAACAAAAATTCTTAGGAGCCTGAGTTCTCCAACAATTTTTGAGCAATCCTAAGAAGATACAACAAAAATTCGATGAAAGAGTCAATACATACTATTGGAGCTTAGAGAGGGTAGCATATGTTGAACAAATCATAGGGACAGGATTTTCTTTTTCAACAGATAAAAGGTACAAATTTCAAGGTTTACCTCTTTTAGTTTTTTGAGGCATTTTTGGCTCTTTTAGTTGTTTGCCCACTGTCTCACTATAAAGCAACCTCATAAATGTCTGTTTCTTTCATGAAGTGACCCTTGATTTTCGGATTTAAAGAAGCAAAATTTCTGCTAATTGTGCTCACTTAGAAAAGAATAGTAATTGCAGCTAGACTCCATCATATCCATAAGAAAAAAGCAACAAAAAGACCATGTTAAATGGAAAGAAATGGAAGCCATTTTTCCTCTTGAGATGGATTAGTTAGAAATGCCACAACTCTCAAACATGTTACGAATGGTAAATTACCTTGAACGGCCATAAACTTTCATACAAGCTCAGTATGTAGACCTTAAACTATCAGAAAGTCTTTTTAGCCTGAGACGTTATTAAGCGAATGATTTTAGAACATCAACTCGAAATTTGATATGAAAGTTTTGGAGTTGAATGCAAATCAGCCCCCTTCAAAAAAATGAAGAAAAAATCGCAATTTTAAAATGCATCAGTGTCCCCTAACAATCTTTCGATTTTTCCCAACAAGGGTGCAATCCCCATCTCTGACCTCGAACAAATGTTGAAATGTACTATGTGCGATGCGCCTAATGGTGTTGAAAGACTATCATGTCATTATGTAGCCTAACACCTACACGTCAAACTCCTTAATTGAGGATTATATGTTAGAAGAAAACATTTACTTACAAATAGGTCTTGAATTTGTTAAATATACATACAAAAAAAAACAAGAAAAGTTTAAAGATCAATCCACAAATTCAACAGTCATACATCATCTAAGTTTGGCCTACTAATGATCTAATCATCTCAAATTACTGTTAGTTTAATCGGTATCATATTATTAGGTTCTGTAGTTCTTCAAATTAGTAAGTCATTTGCACCTTACATGATTCAATTAAAACTAATTTCATGTCGGACTTGATGTATCTCATTTGGGACATGGTGTGGAGGAGGGTTGGTGATTGATGTAATTGAAGGTTTCAAAGGGGAAAACTAGAAATAATGCATTTCTGAAGGGGTAAAACATAATTTACCCTAAATTTCGTATCAAATTAATTTATCTAGATACCCAAGCTCTCCAAATATTGTCTAGTTTTAACCAAGCAATGATCAATGTAGAAGATTAAGACATGCACACAAAAATTATGATTGAGATAATATTGTTGGACATAATTTTGGTGCAAATTTTGAAGAAGCCCTGGAAACAGTTTGTTTCAAGAGAATCACTAAATTTGGATTATTTTATTATATATCATATCTATTTCTCCGAGTTCTTTATTTAATCTTTTTGATTCCATACTAAAAATAAAAGGAACAAAACAAGAAAGCAAAAGAATTCAAACACAAATTATCAATATGTGCACCTTTTCGATTCCAAAATGTTCTCTAATGAAAATATTTTCATATATTTTTAGTGCAAAAAAAATTTTACATCCAACCAAACCACCTTGAATTGGACTGCAATTCGGATGAAGGCAAAGGACGAAATTGAATAAATCAAAAGTTAAACGTACAATGTAGAATCTATGTAAAAGTTTAGGAACTAGAGAAATCTAAAATTATTACGAATGCTCAAAGGAACCTTTTGGGAGAGTGCTTTGTTAATATTTGTATGAAAGAGAAACTCCGGCCACGGAACAAGGACGCGAGGATGAAGAGGAAGGACGCACATTGACTATTTAATTACAATTAGTACGTACGTGGGAGATAATACTACTACTTAAAAAAAAGTTAAGTTAGTAGTAATTCTTCTCACTACGAATTTTCAAAACAAGCCGCCTAGTTCTTGCCTAGCATCATAGTATTTTTACGATACATACATATATATATACATACATACACATATACATAAACATACACACACATATATATATACACATATATACATACATATATACATACATACATACATATATACATAAATACACACACACACATATATATATACATACACATATATAGATACATATATACATACATACATACATATATACATAAACATACACACACATATACATATATATACATACACATATATAGATACATATATATAGTAGTGTAATGCAAAAAACAGTCCCTCAGCCCTCTAGAAGCAAAGCAGGACTTAAAATACAGACCATGTAATGTTCAATGGAAATACGTACTAAGCAAATACAAGCAACGGAAAATGGCATCCAAAATTTCCCAACTTCTTACGGCAACTCTCTGTTAGCCCCAGCCCAGGCGCGCGGATTCCACCCACTTGAATAATTCATGTTTTTCTTCATTGTTCTTGGCACATAATACACAGTGAATTCAGATTGTTATGACTTCAAATTTGTTTAGACCCATCCATATGTGCTTGGATATCCTTTTACTTTGCAAGAAAATATTATTGTTTGAGTTCATGAGAACTGCTTTTCCCATGGGTGCAATTATTTAAATGAACATAGTTATGCAAGATTTTGGTTCGTCAGTCAAAAAAAAAAAATTTTTTTTGGGGGGAATTACATAAGTTTAACTTAGTAACATTAGCTTAAAATTCTTTTACAAAACTTGTTTTGGTTGAAAATAGAAACTTATTTTTAAAAGCAATGTGCTGGCCGGTCAGCACAGTCATCATAGTTTAGTACAATCAATTGGAGCCTCGGACAATAAAATGGTGCCCATGACAACATGGGAACCATCTAAATGTGTACGCAAGAGCTTTTCATGGCTTTAAGCTCATTTTCCTTCCATGTCTTTCCATGTTTGGAGAGAAAGTCATTTTGTTTTTCAATCACTCCATATCCCTTCTTTATTTACACACATCATTCGCTTTTCTTTTTTCTGTCCCGAACCACCCATCCAAACTAAAGTGTTAATTCAATTGAGATTCAGTTGAATTAGAAGATTAAATTCCCCTTTGCTTGATTTTTAGCCCTTCTTCACTCTGATTTCAGTGTTTTCTTTGCAGTAGCATGAATTTTATTGAACTCAACATTTTTTCAATGATGTGCAGATCAGTTATCAGACAAATTAAGGAATTCCAGATAAGTGATAACCATGGCCAATTGCTAGTTTAGCATTAATAATGCCAGTAAAGATTTAGATAAATTCAATAGATAAAAAGTATACTACGTGGACCAAATGAATCAGGAAAAAAATTGATGTGTTAAAGCAAGTAGGTTTTCTGGAATTCTTCCTGGTGGATATCTTCACATCCTCAAGGCCTTCTATAACAAGACAAAAGATGAAGCTTGATATGGTTCAGTGCAGCAAGAGCATATTCCATGTTACTCCTCTCATTTGGAGATTCCTTCGAGCAATTCAGCGCCACTTTCATGATGGATGATAGACACTCCAACTCTTGTGTAGCATACTCTTCATTTGACCTTATCAAATTCACATCCAAAATGTCCATTATTGCATTAGCTATTGATCCGCATACCCAACCCCTCAAGCTCAAATTTCCATCAAACATTTCATCATTTGGCCTTTTTCTTGTAAGCATTTCCATTAACATAATCCCATAACTATAAACATCACATTTTGTTGATACTAGTCCTTCTGATCCATATTCTACAAAAAAAAAAAGAAAAAAGAAAAAAGAGAGAGCAAGCCAATATTAGATAATGTGAAAATCAAACTCAAAGTGACCTAGGATATTGTTTTTGAATGACATAATAAGAGTGGAGTTTGGATGTTTGTAACTACCTGGAGCAATGTAGCCCAATGTGGCTAGTGTGTTAGTATGTGTGATGGTCTCCTCTTCACTCAACATCTTTGCTATGCCAAAATCGCTTACATGTGCAACCATATCTTGATCCAGCAAAACATTACTAGGCTTCAGATCACAATGAATCACTGGAGTTGTGTAACCATGATGGAGATATTGCAATGCACAAGCAACATCGATCATTATGTTCAGTCGCTGCATGACATCTAAGGAGCAATTTTCAGAATGCAACCATTTCTCCAGACTACCATTAGGCATGAATTCAAGCACTAAGGACTTGAAATCAGGGTTAGAGCAACTGGTAATGACTTTTGTGAGATTTCGATGGCGTAGATTTCTCAATATGTTGCATTCTGCATCGAAGCTCCTGAATGCTCGTTCTAATTGCAAATTAAACACTTTTACAGCCAAAATCTTACCATCATTTAGAATACCCTTGTAAACTGATCCAAAACTTCCCACACCAAGCAAATTTTCTTGACTATACCCATTAGTTGCTTGTAGCAGCTCATAGTATGAGATTCTTGGTTGTTCTATCAATGATGACAAACCTGTTTGGCTTGGAATCTTAGATTTCTTTTTGTATCTATGGAACACAGTTCCTAAGCCAGCGACGATAACCACAGAAAGCATTCCTGGCAAAATGATTGCAATGAGAACCGTCTTTCTTGTCCGTGATTTGCGCCTGGAAATAGTTTGGCATGGTGGCAAATGGAACCTAGGTGCTCCACATAATGCTCTATTAAAGGCAAAGGAATCATAAGTGAACTTTGTAAAAGGACCTTCAGATGGAATTTCACCTCTTAAATCATTGGAAGAAACATTCAAGTATGTGAGATATGTAAGATTCTCCATTAACTTGGGGATCGAACCTGAGACATTATTGTGCGACAAGTCTAAATATTCAAGGCTTTGTATGTCAGCAATTGTGGACGGAATTGATCCTTCCAAGTTGTTATTTGCCAAAGAAAGCTGTATCAATCTTTGTAAATCCCCAATTGTACTAGGGATGTTACCCGAGAAGTGATTCAGTGACATGTCTAACCATGTCACAGCCTTCAATTTTCCAATTTCTGGAGCCAAAGATCCATTGAAGAAATTGGATGTCAAGCGAAGTTCCAACAGATCTTTGAGATTCCACAAGCTAATTGGCACACTAGAAGTTATTTTGTTGAAAGACAGATCAATATACCTGATGGATGTAATGTTGCCTAAACATCCTGGAATTGAACCTGAAACTTGATTCTGGCTTATATTAAAATCGTTCAACATACGCAAGTTGCAGAGATCAGTAGAAAGAGTTCCAGTGATGATGTTGTTGTGGAGATATAAGCCTTGAAGCTTTCCCAATCCTTTCACAGAAGTGGGAATGGACCCAGTCAACTGATTGTTGTCTAGCCTTAATGCTATCAAATTGCTTAAATTGCCAATGCTGCCTGGAATGCTTCCCATGATTCCACTGCCAAATGCATATATTATTTCAATGGAGCTAGAAAGGTTCCCGAGGGAATTTGGAAGGACGCCATTCAATGGATTTCGTTCCAACGAAATATGTCTTAAGAGCATGCAATTTGCAAGGGAACTAAAAAGGCTCAATTCTTGAGATGAAGATTCACTTGTCAACTTGTTGTCCGATAGCTGTAGAACATTGAGTTGTCTTAAATTGCCAAGAGAATCAGGAATTGAACCAGTGAATTCATTACTAAGAAGGGTTATGATAGTTAGTCTTGAACAATTTGAGATAGACATAGGTATATTTCCACTCAAATAATTCCCAGCAAGATAAAGCCCTTGCAAATTTTTCAACACATGACACATATTTGGCGGAAGACTGCCAAAAAAACTATTGGCTGAAAGTGACAGAAACTGAATTGTTGAGATGTTGAAAATCCAAGCAGGGATCGGTCCACCTAACCTATTTAATTCCAAGTCAAGGCTCTCCAACTTGGAAAGTTTGCCCATTTCTTGTGGAATGAAACCTGGAAATTTGTAAAAGAACATTAGTCTATTGTTCCAATGTTTCTAAATAATGCTAAGTGAACATTGTCATACCTGTCAAGTTGTTCTCATAAAGATATAGGTTCTGTATCATAGTTAAATTGCCAATCTCTTTTGGTATTTCTCCTACAAAATAGCAAGTTACATGAATCTCTGAATTTAGCATGTCTGACAGACAATTGATTAATGAAAATATTAACTTTTTCTTGACTTACCTATCAAGTGATTGACGCTAATATCTAGACCCTCAAGAATAGTTAAATTCCCAAACTCCTGTGGTATGAAACCAGTGAATCCGTTGCGGGCCAATGACAATTCTCGAAGTGATGAGCATTTACCTATGTTGCTTGGAATCTGACCGTATAGTTGGTTCTTGATTAGGTAAAGGAATTCAATCTTGGGAAGATTGTCGCACAAATTTTCTGGAAGAGTACCGGTTAGGCTATTGTTACCGAGATGTAGATATTGCAGCTTTGACATGTTGAACATGCTTGCTGGTATGATGCCCACAAGATTGCTGCTTAATACCGAAAAATTTCTCAAATTGGGAAGACTAGTTATCTCTTTTGGAATATTTACCTGCTAATTTCAACAGATTTCTTTCATTTCAATAAGACTGAAGACTAAAGGCAAATTGAAAAAAAAAAAAATCTAGAACTGCATATACTAAGAAATCAAAGAAGGCTTTTTTTGTACTAACTAGTAATATTATCAATTTATTTAACTCATTATATGATCTATTCTCTTTGGGTTGGATTTTTTAGAAATTTTATTGTGTACATATCATTTAAAACTAATTATGGTTGGGGTGCTTTAGATTGTTATTGAGGTACTTTTAAAGAGGGCCTTGGATTCACCAAAAAAAACAGACCCAAAAGTAGCGGGCTCGATTGTGACTAGTGATGGAATTTACCAAAAAATGGTGGAAAATGGCAAACCACCTTCTCCTTCCAGCTCCTTGTAGCCGCCCAAGCCCTTCTGTGCTCATCTAGAGCTGTAAACTAGTCAACCGCAATTGAGTTACTTATGAGTTTGCTCGGTCAAAATTCAAGTTCGAACTCATATTAACCGAGTCTTGAGTTTGAGTTGAGTTTCGAGTGGCTTAAATATATTAACGAGTTCGAGTTTGAGCCTTATATACAAAGAGTCTTATATATGAGGATCGATGGTTCGTCAAGTTTAATCGAACTCAATAGAGTTTCAAAAATTAATAAATATATAGAGTTTGAAATGTCTATTTTATCCTTTTTTAAAATTGTATTAAATATTAATTTATATCACTTAAGCTTATTTGATTCATCTGAGATCTAGTGAACTCAATTAGGCTAATCAAATTGAGATCAAGCTCGAGCTCAAGTAACCTAAAATTGAAATAGACTCGAATTCAAACTCAACTTTTAAGAGTTTTAGGAGAGTCGAACTCGACTCAACTCCATTGCACCTTAGACTGCTCCACCTCTTCCCAATAGTCCTCCTCCCTAGTAGTGGTAGGATTAAGGGTTAGTAGGGTTTGTTAGAGGGGAGGAGGGAGAACTGGTGGCAAGTGGCAGGGGAAGATTTGGGATAGGATGACAAGGGAGAAAAATGGTAATAATAAGATAAGGGCTACATATGTGTTTGCATGTTGGTGTATTTTTTGGGTGTTTTTTTTTTCAAATTATTTTCTAGCATTGTTTTGAGTGTTTTTAGGAGTGATATCATGTATTAAAAACATGTTTTTATGGAATTGGCAGTCCAAAGAGGTTTTTATTACTGGACATTGCTCCAGTGGCCATTATAAGCCTCTTAGAGTAAGTCTAATATTAGATTGAGAATTCAAATCCTATCTAACGCTCACAAGGAAAGCCTTAAGGAAATCTTTTGGACAAAAAAAAAAGTGTGGTAATGCACTTGTATAATCTCGAGCAATTTCTTTCCCTCTTACCCACTTTCCTTCCGGGCCTCAAATAGCTTAGTTATGTTTTCCCCTTCCACTGCTGTATAGGAATAGGTCAACAGTCTTTTGTAAAAAAAAAAAAAGGGTTTCATTACAAATATTGTCAAAATTGTGATATAAAAATTTAAAATTCTGAAAAAAAAAGGAAAATTAAAATATTAAGAAACTATAACGTTCCAAAAGAAAAAGAAAAACTAGCAACTTTGAACGAATTCCAACAAGTATGAGAATGTTAGCAGGATGGAGGGACTGCAAAATATCGTCCCCGTGTGAAAAATGAAAATTGCATATTTTAAAGCCAAGAAACTGACCTCCCAAGTTGTTCCCGCCCAGATACAGCTCCTCCAGCATTTGTAAGTTCCCAACTTCTCTAGGGATGCGTCCGCTAAACTCGTTATTTGACAGTGATAATACCTCGAGTCTCCAGCATTTGGATATACCGGATAGTATTTGACCATTCAACTTATTTGAAGAAACTAGAAGCCTTTTGAGACTCGGAAGATTGTTGCACATGTCAACAGGAATAATGCCAGACAAGTTGTTCTCTGAAAAATCTATGACTCCCAAACCGGAGATATTGAAGAGAGGAGGAGGGAGAAAGCCAGTAAAAGAGTTGTTTCTTAATGAGAGGTGTTGAAGTTTCTCCAAGAAACCAAACCATGACGGAATTTCTCCCGTGAAATTGTTGTGGCTTAAAGAAATAAATCTGATTCGACGCAAATGAGCCATCCCTTCTGGCAAATGGCCATGAAAGGAATTATCTCCCATGTCAAGAGAAACAAGAAAGGACAGGTTTCCAAGATTGGAAGGGATACTTCCTGCAAGACCCATGTTCGAAATATTTAAGGCTCTTACTCTGTGGTGATGAGTATAGCTGCAAGTGACACCAATCCAGTTACAAACAGATGAAGAAATGGACCAATTTTTGGCTAAGATAGAGTAAGGATCTGAAGTTATATGATCTTTCAATTCAAGGAGGGCCATTGTATCAGTGCTGATGTTAAAAAGCTAGCTAACATAGAAGTGGCCAACAGAAGGGCAGAAATGAAGTAGCAGAAAACTCTCTCCATATTTGCAACCAAGTTGAGAATAGGATCACTTGCAGGAAAATATGGTGGAACTACTTGTACATATTGTGAACTTATATTCAACTAGTTTGTTAGAACATGCACTTTATGTTTGCATGTTAAAGCATGAAATTATTTTATAGTTGACTTAGTATTTGATTCAAAATGCATAAGAAAAATGTCTTCTAAAACTCACGAGGATTTGGAAAATTTTGATTATTTAAAGTATATATGGTATATCAAGCTGATAGGTGATCACTAAAAGTAATATATTATCATTTATTAACAACAAAAAAAAAACACTTAAACGCAAAGTTATACGGAAACTGTTTTGAAATAGAAGTTGGAACAAATAATAAACAAGAATCTATTGTAAGACTCTCGAGTCTTGACATTTTACACATTAGTATCAATTATTGTATTTTGACATTTTCATGCTTAATAATTGAGTTGATTCAACATATCAATAGCCCACTTATGAATAGTTTAGATGATACATTGCATTTGAATTATTGTAAATAGTACCATAAGACCACCCCCCCCTCTAGAACTTCTCCGTCGGCTATCTTTCTAGTATTAATTAGTCAATTTTTTTCTCAGATTGTTTTTTTTGAATCTTTTTATTTAATCGAGAAAGTTTTGGTCTAATAATTAAAATTGAGATTTCATGATTTAGAAATTCTCGATTCCGATCTCCCTTTCTCCCTCCTCACTTCTTAAATCTCATGCCTCCCCTACTAAAAAAAATAAGAAAAAGAATCCTTTTATTTAATTTTTGGTTGTATTTGATTTTTTTTTTCATATTCTCTTAAGTTGAATTTCCAGGATTTATTATCAACTAACCAAAGAAACCTACAGAGTCCAGATTTTTCCTATCAGTTGACCAGCACAGTATTCCTTCCAGAACTTGTAGCCTTTGACTTGGGTTGGCAGCTAAGTAAGGTTACTCTTGACCAGAAAATACTCGCACATAAGTTTCCAAGTTTGAATGGCAAATTTCAACCCCTCAATTAACGTTGCCGTTGATGCCAGGCATCCAAGACTACTACATCAATCAAAACCCAACCAAATCCATCTGCAACATTTTCTGCAAAAGACAAACTGAGTACTGTATTCAGAAGTGATATGTGCAAGAAACGACCGTTTAATTTAACCAGCTTCTCCAGACCAATGCTTGAATTTCATCTGAAAATGGCTAAATAATTATCTAGTGCTTGAATATCATTGTATGAAGTAACATTATTCATTTTTTGATGTGATTATGCTTCCTGTGTCTGGAGTAGGATTCAAAGTTATTGTTTATTAGTCAGAGGAATTGGCTTAGTTGTCTTAGCATTTGCAGCAAAATCCATTCTTGAGGGTGTTCAGGAAACTGGCAATGGACCAAGTTTTATTCGTACCAGAAAGTCATCACAAGTGCAGTGGCTAGTTGGAGGAAAGTCCCAGGTATCAAGTTGTTTGCAATAATTTGTATTCCTTGCCACAGCAATAAAAGTTGAATTACTACCAAAAATTTTTTTTAAAAAAATCATCTTATATTTATTGACCCAATAAACTCTTAAAAGTAAATAATTCTATCATTTTGTCTATTTGCACAGTTAAAGGAAATAAAACTCTAAACATGGAAGCCTCACACTAGATCTGTGGCAGCACACAAACCTAATCTAGCAGCCGAAATGAGATTTGAAAAAGTTGATCAGTTACTGGCAGTTTGATTTTTGGGAAAGATTCAGAAGATTATAGAAAATGACTAGGTTAAAGAAGCCATATCTTCTTTATTAAAAGCAAAATTTCTCAAAATTAAAAACCGTAAAAAATGTTATATTTTCTTTATGATCATCAGCATTCTAATCAATCTGTCTTTTTATCTCATATGTATTACATCATAAAAAGTGTCACATTATTCTTCCAAATAACCTTTTTTTTTTTCTAAAGAATCTCCTATCCAAACACTGAAATCCTCCAACCCTTCAAGAATGACATCCAAACAACTCAGCATTAGAAATTCCCCCAAGCAATGAAAGCCGTTTCGAGCCTTGGCATCATGTGAAATAAGAAGACGTTTTCTATGTTTTTAGGCTGCAAGAGCATCTTCAATATTACTCCTCTCTTTTGGAGAATCCACTGAGCAATTCAATGCTACTTCAATTCTTCTGCACAGTAGTCTTCACCTGATTTTAGCGATCTAATATCCATAACTTGCTCCACTGCGCTAGGCATTCATTGACATATATACCCAACTCCTCAAGCTGAAGTCCCCATCAAACATTAATTTTATGACATGGCTATGGTTTTTTCATCGTGTATACTACCATTAGCATTGTTCCAAATCTATAAACATCACATTTGGTTGACATTAATCCTTTTGATCCATATTCTTTGACAAAAAGCTGTCACACTTCATCAGATCCATTGTCAAAATTAAGAAACTAGAAAAGAAGTCGACAGTAGATTTATCATGGAATTCAATGTATTTTTTGAAAATATATCTTATGAACTTTACCTGGTGCGCGTAACCCATTGTGGCTAGTGTTTTCGTATATGTGATGCTATCTTTATGATCTGACAACTTTGTAACACCAAAATCACTAACATATGTAAGCATATCCTGCTCGGGTATGACATTACTAGGTTTAAAATCACAATGAATCACCATTTCTGGATGGCCACAGTGAAGGTACTAACAATTACGATCATGCAAGATTTTGAAATCAAGACTACTAAGGTTTTGAAATCAAGGTTAGAGCAACTAGCAATAGCTTTTGTGAGATTTCGATGGTGAAAGTTACTCAACGCATCACATTCTGTATCAAAGCTCTAGAATGCGCCTTACATTTGCAAATTGAAGACTTTCACTGCCACAAGCATCCCATTATCAAGCATACCTTTGTAAACAGATCCAAAACTTCCCATCCCAATCAAGTTGCTTTCATGATACCCATTGGTTGCTTGCATGAAATCACAATATGGAATTCTTCCATGTGCCCTAACTAAAACTGATTATCTTTCGCTTGGTACTTCATGCTTCTCTTGACATCTAAGGAATGAAAATAGCCAGGCCATTTTACCTACTCTTGCAACAATTCCCAACAGAATAAACAAAGGTAGAGGCACCTTGACTTTCCTTGGAAGAGCTTTGCAGGTGGGCAACAAAACCTAAAAAGTCCAGACAAGTCCTTATTGAAGAGAAAGGGCCTCCAGTTGGAATTTCACCTCTTAAATCGTTGAAAGAAACTTTAAAGTACTTGAGATGTCTAAGAGCCGTCATTGACTTGGGAATCAAACCCGAGAGGTTGTTATGTGATAGGTTGAAGGTTTCTAGGCTTAACATGTTACCCACGGTTGAGGGGATTGCCCCTTGCAAGCTGTTATTTGCCAAAGAAAGGTACATCAAATATTGTAAACTCCCAATGGTACTAGCAATGTTACCTGAAAAGTGATTCATTGACAAGTCTAACCATGTCAGGATTCTCCCAACTCTACAGGCAAAGATCCACTCAAAAAATTCAACGAACAAATTAATTCCCAAGAGATCTTTGCCATTCCACAAGGTCCTTGGTAGAGTAGAGGTTAATCTATTGAAAGCTATATAAAAAGACCTCAAAGATGTGAGGTTACCGAAGCATTCTGGAATTGAGCCAGAAATCTGGTTTTGGCTTAGACGTGTATATATATTCAAACTCTGTAAACCACAGAGATCACCAAATAGGGAACCACTCATAGAATTATTTTGGAGATACAACAACCCTTGCAGCCTGTGAACCCATTCATCGTAGAATGGATGAAGCCAGTCAAATGATTGCTTAAGCTTCCAATGCTCCATGGAATGTTACCCTTGATTCCACAGTTTTCTGCAAAAAACTTTTCAACAGAACTAGAGGGATTCCAATTGAAATTGGGAGAACCCCATTCAACGGATTTCCTGACACTGAGATCTTCCCTGGAGAGATGCAATGCAACCGGCCAAGGAAATGAAGAGGCTCAAATCTGGAGATGAAGATTCACTTGTCAAATTGTTATCAATTAGCTCTAAAAATTCGAGGTGCCTTAGTTTGCCACGGGAAAGAGGAATTCCACCACTGAATTTGTTATAACCATGAGAGATAAAAGTCAGCTTTGAACAGTTTGGGATAGATACTGCTATAGCTCCAGTGAAGTTGTTCTCAGCAAGATAAAGTCCTTCCAAATTGTACCGGCCACAGCACATATTTTGATGGAAGATTGCCTAAAAGTGAGGAAATCCTGAGTGTTGAGATGTTGAAGATCACGACTTGCATCGAGCAAGTGAAATTTACTAAATTGCAATTTCAGCTGCTCCAATTTCAAGAAGTTGCCAACCTCATTTAAAATCAAACCTGTCAATTCAACTCGAAATGAAACAAGTATTTCAATCAGGATGCCGTTTATGTACCATAAATTTTCCCTCTAAAACACTAGTTTTCTAGGGCCGTAGCAATTAAGGTTGAATTCTGTCCATGGTTGACTTTAGTCAACTCGAAATGAAAATGAGTAAATTAATTTAGACAGAAGGCTGGAACTGAAAATGTGTTCATTGATTGTTGTTGGCAAGCTCTTTGGCATATTAATGGCGCCAATGATGTGATTTGATATCTAGGAGACAAAGCCAAAAAGAATAACTGATAGTGATATTTTAGGCTATTAGCCTATGGCTTGGTTACATGACTTCGCCTATAAAAATACAAATTTAAAAATAGGGTATGCCAGTGATATATTTAAATACAAAATTTTTTTAAAATTTTCACATGGATTATCTTTTAGTTTGTATGCGTCATATAAAACTTGAAACCTTATAACGGAGCACAAAGAAAAAAAAAAAAGAAGAAGAAAAAGAAGAAAGGGAAGGGTATGAGAGTGGAATCAATAGCTTTACTATTACAAGTGATGTCTTTTGTTATGAGTCCAATGTCATGCTGCTGGGCCTGGGCTGTATTTACATACTAAGACCAGATGACTAATTATTTGTCGGCCTGGGTGTTGTTTAGAGACGAAATCTAGCCTTGATCCAGCAAGACAAATACT